TTATGGTTAAAAACAAATTGTTGTGTTTAGGATGGTGAAAGTCGTGGCCTTGAGACTCTTGTGTTGACCGATAATCATCAAGTGGTTTTTCGGGACCATTGTGTGCTCAAATCGTATCTAAGGTCGTTGTGGGCCCCCGACTCTCCGTCTTCAGCAATCCCCTAGCTTGTGTGGTGAGTAATTGAATTGCGAGTCCAAGTCCCGAGCCATTGGTCTAGAACTTGCCCTGAATGTTTGTTGAGGCGAAATCCTAAGTGAATTTTGACTTGAGGCGTGATTATAGGCTCCCCTTGACCTAAATGTTAGATTGAAAAATTCCATAACCTACCAATGATAAGATCCCTAGTTAACCCTTTTGAGCCTTAGACCTTTTTCTTTCAAGAACCATGATACAAGCCTATACCCGTTTTAAAAGATACCCTCTCTTGGCACCCAAATCTTTCCTTTAGCACATGGTAAAAGTATAAGTTTGGGGGGACAGACGAGAATTGCAACAAAGTAGTAAAAAGGCACAAAAGTGAAGAGAATGAAAGGCAATGAAAAAGAAATAAAAGCAAAAAGACAAAAAGAAAGATCAATGTGAAAAAGAATAAAAAGGGATTCAAGAAAAGCAATGAAAAAGAAAGAAAGGTGTGGATAGTTGAAAAAGGAGAAAAGGGTTGAAATGCATAAGAAAGAGTGACAATGTGTCTCTCTAACCCCTTAGAAAGAAGTGAAATGACTCAAAGAGTCAAGTGAATTGTGCCAAATGAATCAAAAGAAGTGCTTAAGGGAAGATGGAACCCACTTGAACAAAAACATGACCTACCCTAAACCAAAAGCCTTCACAATGACTCCACAAAAGCCTATATGATCTGAGTTGAATGAAGCTTACATTAGTGGATACTTACATAAGGGGCAAGCATATGGTACTTAGAGCCGGACTTGTGACCTTTTCTTGAGAGAGTTGAGTGACTTCCCATCAACCTCGTTTTGTGTGCCACTATTCTAAAGGTGAGGTTTGCTTAGGGAGAGTTGAGGATGTGTGAGTTTGGGTTCCACAATGACCAAAGTAAATTGAAAGAGTTCCTTGATGTGTTGAGTCAACACTTGATGCTCTTGTGTCGCACTTGATCCATGATTTTTCTAAAGTTAAATGTTGTTAATGATTCGTTTGTATTGAGGGCAATTGTTAGTCCCAATTGAGGCTAGTTGAGGTTACTTCAGGATAGCTGAAAATTCTTGGATTTTACCACAAGGGGTGGGTCTTATTTTGTTTGCTTGAGGACAAGCAAAAGCTTAAGTTTGGGGGAGTTGATAACTAGGGATTTTGACGTGTTTCATGCTCCTTCTTGCTTACGCTTTGAGTATAAATTCTTACAAAATAGACCCAAAAAGGCACATAAGTGTGCTTGATTTCAGGTTTGATCAACAAAGTGACGAGGTGTCAAATATCGGCTCAACAAGGAGTGAAACCTGCACAAGTATCAAAGACAAGGAGAACTCAGGACAAACTAGCCTAGTGCGGCCGTAGTCCATTCTGTGCGGTCCGCACTAGGGAGATTCAGAGACTGATTTTAAGGCATCAAACCTAGTGTAGCCGCAGTCCACTTTGTGCGGTCCGCACTAGGGAGATTCAGAGAACTGGCAAATCAAGTGTTAAAGCAGTGCGGCCGCAGTGGAGATTGTGCGGTCCGCGCTGAAGAATCCGCGGCCGCACTACCATTCTACGCGGTCCGCGGAAGCCAACTTCAGAGAGATGTCCAGAGCCTATCATCAAGCCTATGCGGTCCGCGGTCGACTCTGTGCGGACCGCGCTAGCTGCCTCCACGGCCGCGGTCCATTCTACGCGGTCCGCGGAGCCTGAGTTCAGAGAAGTGAATTTGAAGAGTCAAAAGCCTAGTGCGGCCGCAGTTCATTTTGTGCGGCCCGCACTGACCCCGCAGGGGTATTTTTGTCCAGTTTTTCCAACTTAGTAAAATTAGAACATTTTTCCATTTTTAGGGTAACTAGCTATTATCAGACATAAGCTGCGCTCGTGAGAAGCTATCTTGTAGCCATTTTGGGCACTTTAATGTAGTTTTAGCAATTGAATCATTATATTTACTTCAGTAATTTAATATTATGTCTTTTTCTTCATCTATTTCTCTGATTTTAGCTTCAAGCATGAGTAGCTAAACCCATTAGCTAGGGTTGTGGCTCAACCCTAGTGTGGGTAATTGATGGGTGTTGTAATTTAAGGTTAGATTGATTATGGGTGTTTGTTATTTGGGTAAATTTTGTGGTTTAATTTATGAATTAGTGGTTTTAAACACTAGTTTGTGCTAAGTTGACTTGGCTCTTCTTGAGAAAGAGAGCTTAAGTCTCCAAAATTGACCCAACAAGGAATTGGGATGGACTCAAGAGAATTGATAGTCCCAATTAAAGGGTTAAACCTCGAGAGAGTAATTACCCGACTTGAACCCTAGTTGCTCGGGCAAATATGCATACCCAATTGGTCTCGAGAGAGTCAATTGGGCAAAACCACTCTTTCTACCGAGAGGTGTAGACTTGGCTCCAAAATTGAGCTAAGTTGACTTGGCTCTTCTTGAGAAAGAGAGCTTAAGTCTCCAAAATTGACCCAACAAGGAATTGGGATGGACTCAAGAGAATTGATTGTCCCAATTAAAGGGTTAAACCTCGAGAGAGTAATTACCCGACTTGACCCCTAGTTGCTCGGGCAAATATGCATACCCAATTGGTCTCGAGAGAGTCAATTGGGCAAAACCACTCTTTCTACCGAGAGGTGTAGAGTGGGTAGTATCGAGCAACGGTTATAACATATTTCCCCAATCATATCAATCGTGCTTTAGATGCAATTACCCGTCAATTAGCCACCTAGGTGAAGGTCACTACCCTAGTGCCCTTTAAACTGTTAGATACAACTTGTAGCAATTTATCTCTTAGCTTAATCTAGGTGCATTTTCAATTAGTAGTTTTATAATAGTAGAATATAAAGAAAACCCAAAAATGAATAGAAGACCAATTAAGAGCATACACGCAATCCTAAGCTAAATAGATACTCGACTCCAATCCTTGCTCTCTATGGATTCGATCCCTACCCAAAATTGGGTAAAAGCTATTGCGACCCTCTCTCGCTACTTTTTAGTGGTGTGGAGTTGGCAGCGATCAACTGGGGTCGAGGTTCATCTTCGAGGGATTGTCGGTGTTTGATCTCGGAGCCTTTAGGATCAACGTATATATTGAGAGAAATGGGGAGTTCCTAAGATTCACAGATAGGGCTGATAGAGCCGAGTGGACTACCCTAACCCTGAATCAGGGTGTCATATCTAGCTGTCCCATCTCCGCTTCTTTATCTTTAATATATTTTGTACTATATTGAGACTCCCCTCCTATATAAAGGGGATCCCTATCATTATGTAAGGTTCTGTTGCTTCTGTTACTCCACATGAATATACGAAGAACATCCTCTCTACTTTCTAACATACTTTCTTGCTATTATTGCTTTCATTTATTATCTTCATACTTGTTCATCATTTATTGCTTATCATTGGCCATAAAGAGCCTTTATTAATTTCGACATAACTGTTAGTCATACCCCAATTGCCCCCGATAGTTCATTATCGAGCCACAGAATCGACCCTGAGGTCCCCATATCGACAAGCTCGAGGCCTCGATTGTCAGCCTCTCGGTTTGATTATCACCTCATCTTCAGCTCTTATTTCGTCTTTAAACTTCATACGCATAGCATCATATGCTTAACAACTAGCATAAAAATAGATCACGTATTATTAGAGTCCCATCAATAAATTTAATTGTTATTACCATTTTCATGGTAAACAAAGTTTATGGTTCTTACCTCGATTTTGTCTAGTAATTAGTTGAGATGGTGGACTACACTTTATCCCCGGGTGTGATGCTTTTGGTACTTGTGTCCAATTAGGCGAGGCCATCCGCTTTGGCATTCCGTGCAAGTGGGATCTGGTCGAGCTAGCATTCGTCGAACTCAGGCAGTAGCTTGCTGTTCGTGGTCTGATATTTTTGCTCCTTAATTTGGGATGTCTCTGTGACTTGGTTGACTACGAGCTGGGAATCATAGCGGAGTTTCAACCGCTTCACCCCATACTTGAGGGCTAGCTCAACCCTGTAATTATGGGCTCATACTCGGCCTCGTTGTTGGTCATATTCGGACACCTTATGGATTGGTGAATTCGCCTGTGGGGACCTCGAGTACGAGTCCCAGTCCGAATCCTGATGTGTTGGATGCGCCATCAGTGTATAGGACCTAGAAGTCTTGTGTTTGGAGGGAAGATTAAACGGCTTCCTTTTCGACTTTAGGCATTATCTTTACATTGAAGTTCGCAACAAAGTCGGCAAGCACCTACGACTTTATCGTTGTTCGCGGCTGGTATGTGATATCGTGCTTGCTTAGCTCGATGGCCCACTTGTCCATCCTCCCCAATAGCTCGAGTTTATGCAAAATTCTCCTCAGGGGAAAGGTTATAATGACTGAGATGGGGTGGCACCGGAAATAGGGTCTAAGCTTTCGTGATGCTATGACCAATGCTAGAACCGATTTTTCGAGGCGCGGGTACCACATCTCATCATGAACAAGTTTTTTACTAATGTAATAGATGGGAGATTGCATACCTTTATTTTTGCGGATCAGGACTGTACTTACCGCTACTTCGGAGATGACTAGATAGACAAGGAGTTGTTCCCAGGTTTGGGTTTTGAAAGAAGAGGCGGTGATCATAGGTATGCCTTCAGTTCGCACAGAGCTTGGATGCACTCGGGGGTCCATTCATGGTTGTTGTCCTCTTTGAGTATGCCAAAAAATTTATGACATTTATGAGACGACCGCGAGATGAATCTCGATAGGGCGGTGATTCGACCAATCAACCTTTGGACTTGCTTCTTGGTAGTCAAGAGTTCCGATATCCCCTCGATAGCTTTGATTTGGTTTGGGATGACCTCGATCCCCTGTTGTGAGACCAAAAAACCTAAGAACTTTCCCGAGGCTATGCTAGACGTGCATTTCTCCTGTACCGTCTTAGTATGTCGAAAGCTTCCTTCAAATGATCGATGTGATCCTCTACCTTTATGAACTTGACTATCATGTCATCTATATATACTTCCATGGTCTTGCTGAGCTGGTCTTTGAACATCTTTGTGGCCAATCTTTGATATGTAGCCCCTGTGTTCTTCAGTCCAAATGGCGTGACCCTATAATAATATGTTCCTTGGTGGGTGATGAGCTTGGTCTTCTCCTGGTCTTCTTCCTCCATATGAATTTTGTTATAGCCTGGGTACGCGTCCAAGAAACTCAATAGCTCATGACCGGCCGTTGCGTAGATAAGTTGGTCGATGTGGGGTAATGGGAATGAATTCTTCGAACATGCTTTGTTCAAGTCCGTGAAATCCACGTACATCCCCCATTTCCCATTTTTCTTTTTCACCATCACTACGTTGGCAATCCACTTGGGGTACTTTGACTCCCTGATGAAGCCATTTTCTAATAGTTTCTCCACCTCCTCACAGACTACATCGTTGATGGCCGGGTTGATTTACGCTTGACCTGCCTTACTGGGAGGTAGAACGGGTCGATGTTTAATTTGTGTGCGGCAATTTCCCTGGGGATGCCTGGCATATCTGCATGGCTGAAGGCAAATAAATCTGCATTAGTTATTAAGAATTGGCTGAATTTACTTAGTTCCTGTAGTTTGCATCTTATGTAGGCCTTTTGCTACGGTCATTGAGGTCTAATTGAACGGGGTCGAGGTCTTCTATGGTCGAATCCGTAGCCTCGATCATTTCAGGATCCACAGTGACGTCCCTGGTCTCTTCTTGCGCCGATCTCGACCCTGTTGATTGCTATGCCTCTTTTTCCTTGTCTTTGTTCTATTGGATTGCCGTGTTGTCTAAGGCAGTGCGGTAGCACTTTCGGGACGTACGCCATTCTTTGCGTATGCTGAATATTCCCCATGGTGTTGGGAATTTGATTACTTGGTATAGGCTGGAGGGGATGCCTCTCATTGGATGTATCCATGGTCGTCCCACTATGGCATTGTACGTGGTGGCCTAGTCTATGATGTCGAATGTTGTCTCCAGAGTCACGCCACCGGCCAAGACGGGGAGTGTAATTTGCCCTGATGGCCGCTCAACTGCATTATTAAAATCGGTTAGCGTGATGTAGCGTGACACTATCTTGTCCTCGAGTCTTGTTTGGGTAAGGACTCGGGGATGGATAATGCACGCTTCACTTTCATCGTCCGCCATGATATGTTTGACATCAGTATCTAAAATGCGTAAAGTAATGACGAGGGCATCATTATGAGGGAAAGTCAAACTGTCGGCATCTAACTCATTGAAGATGATACTTTCTTTGAGTCCATCGTACCGTTGGCGGGTGATAGACTGCTTGAGCTTGTGTGTGGTGGTTGTAATTGACGCCGTCGATGGAGGCATTGTTGTCGCCGCTGATGATTATATTAATAGAATGAGCTGGTGATGGCGGCTTCGGCGGGCCTTGGTGTTCATGTCCTCTGGCAAAGTTATTTCTCCCCTTATCGCTTAGCAACTCTTTGAGGTGTTCCTACTGCAACATGTTTACGATTTCTTGCCTGACGGCGATGCAATCTTCAGTTTTGTGCCCACGTTCCTGGTGAAACTCACAGAGGGCATCAGATTTTCTGGTGTTCGGATCAGATCTCATCTTGGGCGGCCACTTTACCTTTGTTCCGAGTTTCTCAAGAGCATAGACTATTACTGTAGGTGGCACAAAAATTATGAGCAGATAATAAGGGGGCATACCTCTCTCGTTCAGGTGAGTCCTTGCCCTTGGCCTGGATGGACCTTCTTTATAGCGGAGGGAAGGTGTAGCAGGCGCCCTGACGTATGGCTGGTGTCGTTCCCTATTGGGTCGCGAGACCGGGTGATCCCTCCTGATGTCGTCTCTTCATTCTAATCTAGATTCGATTTGTACCGAGATTAGTCGATGAGTTGGTCTGTTGAGGTCATCCTCATCTGCTCGAACTTCGGCACAATAAGCATTTAGATTTCGTCCCAAGTGGTTGGAGGATATTTTATCAATCGGCTTAATATTTTTGTAGTTGCTCTTGAACCATCTCTACTCAACCCACTCTGTAAAGCTGCGACTGCCATCCCTTCGGACATGTTCGGTAGAGACATCCTTACTCTGTTAAATTGGAAGAGGAAGTCCCTCAGTCTCTCTCCCATGGCTGCTTGATAGCGACTATGTCATTTACTCTTGCTTTGGCCTTTTTGGCTCGAGCATGTGCAGTATCAAACTTATCGGCCATTTCCTGGAAAGTTTCTACGGAGCGGGCTGGTAGCTGTGAATACCATGTTAATGCCCTTCCTATAAGGGTTTTGCCAAACTTCTTCAACAAAATAGAGGACACTTGTTCCTTAGCAAGGTCGTTGCCTTTCACAGTTGTGACGTAATGGGTCAGATGATCTTCGGGATCGGTCTTTTTGTCGTATATCCTGAGGTAGGGCGGCATTTTGAAGGTCCTTGGTATGGCATACAGGGATGCTTCGTCGTTGTACGACTGCTCTACGTACCTGTCGACGTCCCTCTTTGGCAGCAACTTAGGAGCTTCCGGTATCTTGTCCACTCGTTCTTGGTGTTCTTTCATCTAGTCTCTGAGTGCTTTGTTTTCATTCTCCATTTCCTCAATTCTCTTTAGAACTACAGCGAGGGTGTTATCACCTGCACTGTTAGTAATATTATGAGTTATACCTGGTGTCGGAAGGTTTGGTCGGTTGCTCTGTTCGTCTGCTCATTGTATCATGCAAGCTTTTATGATTTCAGTAGTTATGCTTGGAACAGGCTTGTTGAGCACGCTCACTAGCATATTGATCAGCCATGTTTCGAGGAGCTTTTTCACAGCTGGGGGCATCCCTTATTCTGCGGAAGTGGAGGCCCCTTTTCCATTGGGTTTTGTTATGCTACAAGAGGGGGGATGCGACCTCTCATGCCTAGGGGAAGCGGTGGGCATCACGTCCTTGCCTACTGTTTCACAGCTCATTGATAGCATTCATGAGGTTGCTACGAAAATCACCTATCACTTTTTTCCTTTCTACTTGACTAGCCATGTAGGTTTTTGTACGTACAAAGAGAGAAGGAGATTTTGGGGTTTATGAGGTTTGTAATTCGTGTAAGTTGTAGATCTAAAGCAAAACTAAAATATTAACTAAGAAGTCCCCACAGATGGCGTCAAATTATTTGACCAAAAATATAAAGCTTGGTTCAACTAATTAAATTTACACAAGTAAGGGTTAATCTGAGTTAATAATAATATCCAAAATATGAAATTCTCGGTATGATGACAGATGACATGGATATCTCTTCCAAAGGATATGATGGTGCAAAATAATGACAATATTCAAAGACCCAAAAGGAAGAAATGAAGCATTAAATAGTGATGAATAGCAATAAATGACATTTATGTAAATAAAACGTATGAGTCACCCGAGAAAGGATGAAATCAGTAGAAGTTCTTTTTGACAATGATCAATGATAGATCATCCTTTGAATATTCAATTTATTCTCGGATCCAGTGAAGAAGTGTGGATCAGAATCTTAGTAAAAAGGTTATTTTTGTATGCATATAACAAGGTCAGATTCTCTAAATAAAGTCAAAGTGTATTTTACAAATGAATATTTCATGTCCCCTCTTATTGTGTCTCTTTCTATTTATAGGGAGAATGTTCCTAGAAATCCTAACAGTACAAGTGCAGAGAATATCCACTAGACTATTTTCTTTAATGTCCTATCTTGAAACTAGTCGTTATAACTCTGTCAATGATATTCGACCTCGGCCTCAATCCCTGACGACTCCTCAACCTCAGTCCTTGCTGACTCTTCGACCAAGACCTTCATTGTTCCTTAAGCCACTTTGGCCCGTGGCGGCCTGGGAGTGTTTCGCTAATGCTATCCTGACTCAAGTATTCTAGAGATAGATTTTGACCCATACAAATATTTGGCAAGAATTCAGCCATTAACACATTACCAATAGGTAGTGGGTAGAAACTTGAAATAGGAAAAATCATTTAATTACTAAAAGAAAATGGGGATGCCAGCATTTATAACACTTATTTTAGAAAACATAATATGCTGAAAGTTCTTGTTTCAATGATATATATGTTCCTAACAGCTCTTTCCATAGGTGAATACAAACCAGAATCTTCTGTAAAAAAGAAAAAATCTAATGAAGCATTAAAAGAAAGGAGTAAAACATGATGAGTCATACTCCATAGATAGTTAAGCCACCTAATCAAACTTCATCTTGGTTTCATCTATTATGTGCAAGGCAACTCC